GCTCAGGGCCACCCCTCTTCTCTCCAAAATGCCCCCTGCCCACTCTCAACCGCTGGAGAAGGCAGGAATGTGCTGAGCTCTGGGAAAAGTCTCCCGGGCCTGCAGCCATCAAGGGTTGGGGTGTGGCCGGAACCCAGCCAGAACCCTCCTCCTAGGAGGGGTGGAAGGGACAGCGTGGTCAGGGCTGCTGATGGGCCTGAGGAGACCCTCACCCCATTGCAGTCTCTCTCTCTCTCTCATTCATTGATTCATTCAAATATTCATCTGTTCATGTATTCATTAAAAAAACCTTCACAAGCCCTTGATGGCAGGCCCTTCACTGAGCACTAGAGACACTGACAGACCTAAATTCACTATGGGGTTGAGGGGAAGGCTCAGGAAGATTCCTGGAGGAGGAGACATCTAAAGTCAAACTGAAGGGCTGAGAGGAAGGAGCCGGATAAAAAGATGATGAAGGGGCTTCCGGTGGAGGGACAGGCACAGGCAAAGTACCAGGGGGCAGAGAGCGGTCCTTAATCCAATATCAGCAGTCCGTGAGCACCTGGTCTGGTGCCCAGCCCCGTGTTCAATGGTGCTGGGGAAACTATGTAATCAAGATTGCTGGTGCCTGATTTCACTGAGTGCACATTCCAACAGGAAGACAGACCCAGAATAGCCAGGGTTGTGATGGGAACTCACAGGCAGAGAGGCCCATCAGGGCCTTGATGGGGGAGCCCAGGAAAGATGTTTGCTTCAACCTAGGAAGGGAGGCCAGGGAAGGCTTCCTGGAGGAGGAGACATGTGAGCTGAGACTTGAATGAGCCATAGAAGCTAGGCGAGAGAAGAGGAAGGGGAACAGTTTTATGAGCAGGAGGAAGAGCCTGTGCAAAGCACCCAGATCCAAAGAGAACTCAGTACATAGGAAATGTCCAGGAGCTGAGAACTGTGTCCTTGTTCATAGCTGTGTCCCCATGGCAAACATGCCTCTTCTTTATCACATCTGTCTCATTATACATTTATTCACCAGCTATTAGCAGATACCTCCTCTGTATCCATCTCTGAGCCAAGTGACGTTAGGAACACAGCAGTGTCTGTGCCCTCACAGGACTCACAGTCGAAAGGGAGCAGACATTAAAGTAATCAACAGAATCACTTCTGAGAGATTATATTATTACACATGGAGCTAAGTGATATGAAAGACAGATTCAGATCTAGATGAAGGGCCTGGCACTCTGGTACTATCAGAAAGGGCAGGGAGGGCTTCCTGGAGGAAATGACATTTGAGCTGGCGCTGAAGGATACATAGGAATTCATGCAAAGCTGCAGGTGGCAGATAAATGAGAGTGGGTTTCAGGTAGAGGAACAGCCTGTATGCAAAGGGCTACTTTGGGAAACCGGTGAATGTGAGAGTGGGAGGGGCAACTGAGAGGTCGGTGCATGGTCAGCAGGGCCATGGGGAGGGACTGAAGCTTTGTCCAAGAGCCCTGGGTACCTATAGGAGGGACAAAGTCAGAGCTGAGTTTTAAGTAGTTCAGGGTGGAAAGAGTCTGACTACAGGTCAGGCAGGAGTTGAGGAAAAAAATCCGCCTGTCTGCTCAGGGTCAGACAGACAAGGGAGTCTGGTGCGTGCTGTCCCGTCTCTCACCACGTCTCAGAGGGCAGATAACCTTGCGTCTTACCATGGTATCAAGTATTCGGTCTTTTGCCATTAACCAAACTGTTAGCTGCTGGTTTTGTGTAGCTGCCCTTTAGCAGGTGAAGGAAGCTTCCTTCCCTAGCTTACAGTGGTTTTTTTGGTCATGAGTGGTATGTCTCTCTCTGCATGCCTCTCTGTGTCTCTGTTTCTCCCTTTATCTCTGTTTTCATTCCTCGGCTCTGTCTCTCTCTGTATCTCTGTCTCATTCTCTATGTGTCTATTTCTTTCTCTGTGTCTTTTGCTTTGCCTCACCAAGAGGGTGTGGCCATGGGAAGTTAAGCTTAGGGGCTGGCACCAGTGTCTCAGTTCTGGCCAAGGCCACTTCAGTAAACACAGGACATCCTGCCTAGCTGGGGAAGGAGATGGAAGCTTCTGCTCAGGGACCACCCTTTCCCCACCCAGTCTGAGTTGAGCATGAGCCAGGTCCCACCCAGTACAGCCAAGGGAAACTGTTACCTCCCTCACTTCTGTCCTTAATGCCTGCCCTTCCCCCTGGCCCTCTCAACTGAGCTCCAATCCCAGGCCAATCTCCTTAGATGCCTGGCACTCACTATGTCCCTCTCTGGCCTTGCTGTCAACCTCAGACCTGCTTCTCCTCCTGGTCATCATTCCAGGGTGGCCCCACCATCCCCCAGTCCCCTGGCTAGAGCCCTAAGTTTCCTCTTAGGCTCCTCCTCACTCACAGCTTCTCAGCCCCACAGCCTGTCCTCTCCAGCGTCTCTCCCCTCCTCTCCCCAGGCCTCTCTAGGCCTCCCCTCTTGGCTTCTGGCCTCCAGTCCCATCTCACCACCATGTCCACAGGGCAGCCAGAGAGATCCCTTTACTTCTAGATACATTTACCCTAGTGAAATTCCTCATCTAACGTCTTGTGTATCTGGTCCCTGCCCATCCCTCCAGCCTATTTACCTCTTTCCTCCTCATTCCAGTCAAACTCAGCAGCATACAGGTACCTGAAAAGGTTGTAGGGTACCTAACCTGCTAACTCTTGCACATGCTGTTCCCTCTTCCTAGAATACTCTTCCCTCAGAACAACGGCCCTTTGAGGTGTGTGCTGTTACTGTTCCAGCTTAGAGATGGGACCCTGAGACCCAGAGAAGTTAGATACGTTGCCTAGAGTCACTTCAGATCCCAGAGGACTGGGATAAATTCTGAGAGTCTGGAGCAGGGGAGAGATGCGGTCAGATTTTATATTTAGGCAGTGCCAGGCAACTAAGTAGGTACTCATAAATCTTTGCTAAATGAGAGGAGGAAAGAAGGGAGGTAAGGAGGAAAGAAGGGAGGTAAGGAGGAAGGAAGGGAGGAGAAGAAGAAGACCAAGGACAGGAAAGAAATGCCTGTGTGATGGGGGTCACTGTGAATGCCCATGGAGGGGAAACAGCCCCGGGGAGTGTTGTGGGAACACACAGAGGCTCTGTGAAAGGCAGCAGCAGCACCAGGGCTGGCGGCTCGGCAAGGAATGGTGTGGGCCCTGGAATCTGCTGGCGGAGGTAGCGCGGCCTCCTAGGGTTGAGCCTGAGGGCGGAGGGGCACACCAGAGCCAGGGAGCCCGCACAATCATCCGGAGGTCAGACAGGAGAAGTGTGGGGCAGGTCCTCAGGCATGAGCTGCTCATAAACCTGAGGGCACCAGGGTAATGGGAACAGGGCTGACCTAGCCCATATGGCGCTTTTATACAAAAGACATGCTCCTGCCCCAAGTCACTTGATCTCCATCTGCTGGGAAATTGTCATAACAAATATATAAATACATGGTGCCCAAGACATTTGGGGTAGTTCCTTAAATATGAAGCCTATATGCAGGGCACAACCTCTGCAACTGTACCCAGAGGTTCTGGGGAGAGGTACATCACTAGCCAAGCAGGCACTGGGGCAGATGGGAGAATCATTGTCAAATGGGTTGGCTGTCTGCATCGGGAGGTAGCACAGGTTATTCTCCAATTTGGCACTAGGAGACATCAGGGACGGGTCCCCGGGGTTTTGTAAACAGAGACATTGATGACTGGGGGGCTCCTGAACCCCTGGACAGATCTCCAGAAAACCAAGGGAGCGCCATCACAGACCCTCAGACTGGGCACCAGGGGGCATTGCTGAGCTCCACCTCAAGTCCCAAGGAGTGGGTCTGGGTCAAAACTGAGTCTGAGTCCCACTGCACAGGGGCTGGAGTCAGACACCCGGAAGCCCTTCAGCCTGGGCACCAGCTCCTTTCGGGTCATTTCCACTCCCCTCCCGGGTCGCCCCATCCACTTCCAGAAATGGGCACGACTTCCTCTGCTCCTCCAGGAAGCTCCACTCTGCCCGCCCCTTTCCGGCCCGAGGCTACCCGTCTCCCCCAGTTGTCTCCCGCTGCAGCCTTCCAGAAGCTAACAGCCAGAGGACTGGCGCTGGTGCTCGACGACCGTGGTGTCCCTTTGCCTGCGTTTGCCCCGTTCGAGGCCCAGCCAGCCCCTTAGGTCGCCATTTGACCCTCTGCTCCTCCCCCTGCCCCTCCCGCCCGCACCCGGGGCGCTGCCCTGCCCCCACAGCCGCCAGGAAGGACGCCGGCTGGGTCCCGTGCCAGGCCTCTGAGTGTGCGGCCCCTCCCAGCGGGGCCAGGAATGCGGCTGGACCGCGGGGGCGGCGGGCAGCGCACACACACGGCCAGCAGGCCCTGTCACACAGGCGGTCAGGCAGGTGGCCTCAGCACGCTGGGGCCTGGATATTTTCTAGAAGAAAAGCATTCCCCCCTGCCCAATTTGAGATTTGAGACATAGAATTTTGTTAAAAGTTGCTAGAGTCTCCCCTTCTGTCACCATTTTCCTGGAGAGCTGCCTCTCAGTGCTCCTTGGAGAGGCTCCATTCAGCCTCCAGATTTGTCCTTTTATTTCTGGCTCATCCTGAAAACTCCTTTTTGTCCCCAACAGCCCTCAAGACACAGGTAAGGGCTAGATTTCATTATTAAAAAGTGGCCTGGGGCACCTGCACCACCACCGCCAGTGTGACATTCAGGCACACCAGAGAACACTGGATGAGTGCCTTCCCAGCAGTTTTCTAGAGGGCCTGTTACCAGACCTAACTGGTCTGCTTCTAGACCAATAAAATGGTAAAGCTCATAGTTTGACACCCACCTCCTCAAGTGATGACTTCCTGGAGCCTCAGTTTTCTCAACTGTAGAATGGGGGTAATAAAAATGCCCATCTTGTTATGAGGATTAAATGAGTTAACACATGTCGAGGGCTTAGAGCTGTGCTAGGTACACAGTCTGTGGTCAATAAATGTTAGAGGTTATTATCTCACCCTCGCCTTTGCCCAGACACAAAGAAAAATACAGACTTCAGATTTCCCAGGGCTGGTTTTTAATTTCAAGAACTGGTTGGGGTCTCTTTCCACATGAGGGAGAGCCATATCCAGGCTATGACCTCAGGGGAGTCAGTCCCGCACTGGGCCTAGTCCCATCACAATTCCGCCACCAGGCCCTGTCATTCCATCCTGAGGGCCCATCCCAGACTCCTCCCATCAGCCTGAGACAAGAGGATGGAGGTGAAGCTGTTGGAAACGGATTCTGTCTCTCCAAAACCGCCATCTCTGTTCTAGGAGAGCCAGCTGTGTCTTTTCCAAGGACAGTTGGTTTAGCCACCAACTGTTTAGTCACCAGATAACCCTCCCAGCCCTGGGGTCAGCGCCCTGGCCCGGGTGGCCGCTCCAGTGCCTGTGTGCCCACCAGCACATCCATGAGGTAGTCCAGTTCAGCCTCGTCAAGCTCCGGAGCTTCCTCCTTGCCTGACCCATCTTCAGGGACAGGTTTGAGGCCCTCTGATTCTGGTGCCCAAAGTTCACTGTCGTACATGGAGGTGTCGATGTCCTCAAACAGGCCCTCGAGCCCGTCGTCCAGCAGGCAGCCAGTGGCTGGGCCCAGCAAGTCCAAGGTACCCAGGCTGGGTGGGGCTCCCACAATGGGGCGACCTGGCGGCCCTTCATCTGCCAGGGGCTGGGGCGCCTGGCTCAAGCCCTCAATATGGCTAAGGTCCTCCAGGAGACTGGCCATAGAGGCTGAGAGGGCAGCATCCGAGCTGGCCAGCAGGTTGTCAGCCACGCCAGGGGCTGCAGGCAGGCTGGGCACAGGTGGCAGGGCAGCTGTGGGTGCCATGGATGCCTGGATGCGCCGCAGCGTGTTCACTACCAGTACCAGGTGCCGTAAGTCCGGCTCGCTCTGCCGCAGGCTGTGGTGGAGTTTGAGCACTGAAAGGTCAAAGAGGGAACTGGAAGCCACAGCTGGGGGTGCCTGTGCCACTGCTGGGTGGCCAGGATCCAGCCACCAGGCGTCTACTTCCAGGGCTTCCTTTTCCTCCTCTGCCTCCTCCTCCGCCCGCTTGCGCTTCAGGCCCTTGCTCAGCATCATCTGTGAGGAGGGAGGAGTCACTGAGTTATGGAAAGTCAATGTTAAGTCCAAACCCTGGCTCTGACAACTGCTGTCTGTGTGATCTTGGCCAAGTCACTTAACCTCTCTAAGCCAAGGTTTTCTTGGGGACCCTTTAAGATATGAATGATAACAGTATCTACTTCCTAGAGCTGATTTGAGGAATATGAGATAATATACACACAAAAAACCCCCACTACAACACTACAACAGTGCCTGGTACATAGCGATTTCTCTTATTAAAAAGTAACATTATTAATAACTATTATAATTTATTTCTTCAATGAATCATATGAAATGTTTAATATTCAACTTTTTTTAACCTACAAAAGCAGCTGTTTCACATAGTCCAATCTAATATTTATTGAGTACCATGCATCAGACACTAACAGATACAGGAAATGTACAGATGGTGCTAGGGAGATACTAAAAGGTTCTGGGGATTCGTCAGGAAAGGCTTCTCTGAGGAGGTGACATTTGAGATGAGCCCTCCAGCATGAGGAGCCCGCCTCGGAATAACGAGGGGGAAAGCAGTCCGGGAAGAGAGAACAACAGCAAAGGCAAAGACAAACGGGAGACAGGATGAGCCTGAACTGAAAAAAGACCAGTATGTGTCAATTATACCAGTGTGGTCAGCACACAAGCGACAAGAGCAGGGGAGAGGGGAGGAGTGGAAGGTGGCGGGATGTGGAGAATAGGCAGAGGCAAGGAGTTTGGATTTTACTGTTTGTGTGGTGGGAAGTCACTGAGGGGTTTTGACCAAGGAGGTGAGTGCTGGTATGAATTGATTAGGTTTCCAGAAGCTCCCCTTTGGCTACTTCGAGGAAGATGAGGGGTGCGGAGAGAAGCGGGAACAGATCTATTCGGAGGCTACTGCACTCTCTTTGGGGCGGGCGATGATGGTGGCTTGGAGTACAAGGTGGTAATGGAGATGGAAGGAAGTTGGTCGATTCAGGATCTGTCTGGGAGGCAGAGTGGAGAGAGCTTGCCAGGAAATCCTGAAGGGCACGGGGGTCACTGAAACCAGTATGAGTACCCACAATTTCCCCCAAGGGGAGTGGTCCTTGGAGTTCGGTACCCGAGACCCAAGCTGCTTTTTTGAGCCGGGCAGCCTACAGGGTCCAGTCCCCGACCCTTGCCCAAAAGGACCTTAACTCTTTACATTACTCAGAACTGGGTCCTCGCCTCCTTCCTGGTAGACCCAGGAGTCCAAAACCGCAGGAATTCAGCCCCCTACCCCGACTCCGACCCCCGGTCCGTGCGCCCCCTAGCGGCGCCAGGCGGTCCTCCCCCGCAGATTTCGGCTCCTTAGCCCCTTGGACCCTTCACACAACCCCTCGCCCTGGCTGTCGTTCCTGCCCGCCGCCGCCCGAGACCGTGCAGGCCAGGATTCCAGGTGGGCTGTTCTGCCTTCTCGGCCTCCGCTCGCCACCGGAAGGCAGTGGAGGCGACTCCTCCCGAAGCGGCGGGGGCGGGTGAGTCACGCAGCCGGAGCCATGGAGCCGGCGCCTCCGCCCCCTTCTTGGGCTGCGGCGTGATTCACCCGGCCCGGCCGAGGCGGGCGGCATTTTACAGGCCAGCACGTCTCGATCCACGCAGCCCCGGCACACACCTACCGGGCCGGGGATCGAACCTGCCAAAGGACCCCGCCACCGGTATCCCTTCTTTCCCTACCTAGGCCCCTTCCCTTCATTTACATACCTAGTTCACCAGCTGCCAATCAGCACAAAAAGGGAGCCACCCGCAGCCAATCAGGAAGCGGCGGCGGCGGCAGCATCGCTCGCTCGCCCTCCTTCAGCAACCAGCACCCGAGCGGGGAGATGCAGTTCTGACTCCGGCGCACGACTCCGGGCTCTTGACTCCTCTTAGCCACCGCCCACTCCCCAGACAGACCGCCCCCACCCAGGGATTGGCCCTGGACAGTGATGGGCGGAGCCTGTGGGCAGGTTCGAAGGGAGGGGAGATTGGCTTCCGGGCGTCAGCGCTGGCGGCTGCGCGGTGGGAAGGGAAAAGGTGGATTGTCTAGGTACCCTGGCAGTGGCTGGGAGGGATTTTTTTGTCTCTCAAAGTACCGGCCCCTTGTACCTACCCATGAACCTGCCAAACCCAGAAATTTAGTTTCTAACGCAGCCAGCCCAACAGGGGAATCTACACTCTAGGCCACAGTGGCCTGGGTTCAAATTTTGACTCGCTACTCGATGTGTGACCTTGGAAAAATGCTTGACCTGTCTGAGCCATATGTAGCCTGTTAAATGGGGATCTTCTTGCTTACTTCTTGAGTTAGAGAAATTAAAATAACATCGTATCTATAAGAGCACTATACCAGACTCGGCAAATGCTAGTAGATAGACTCAACAGGGAGTCGATAGGCAGGGGCGGGGCGGGGGGGCGGGAGGGCGGAGAGGATGCCACTGTAGTCACATACAGGGCTCCATTCCCTAAGTAACTGTGTGACCTTGGGCAAGGGTTTTAACTCCTTAGAGTCTCGGTTTCGCCGTCTGTGTTAAAATGAGAGAAATAACACTGGAGCAGAGGATCGCTCTGAGGATTAGATAGAACAATTTGTGTAAAATTCTCAGAGTGATGTGCATGTCCTTTTATTAGTAGCTGTGGCTGTTGTGATAATAGCACACCCGTTTAGTGCAGGTGGGGGACACTCGGGGAGGTGTATAGGTAGACAGGAGTTTAATACTGTCAGATAAACTGACAATGGGGCTTACTTCAAGTAGCTCATTTGCTAGTTTTTATGGAGCTGTGGGAAGAACTGTTAGTTGTGAATAACACTCCTGGCCAAAGTAAGCTCTCAAATAGCTAACTATTTTTTATATGTAACATTAATATGTAAATTATGTAATGTAACATTAACATTAATATGTAAAATGTTTTATATGTAACATTTATATGTAAAAATATGTAACATGTTTTACAATTGCCAAGATGTGGAAACAATCTAGGTGTCCTTCTATAGACAAGTGGATAAAGAGGATGTGGTACCTGTTGTTGGCATAGGAACATGAAAACCTGTAGAGAATTTTTATAAGGGTTTGTTTGAGCTAAACTGAGGACATATGCCAGAAGCAAGATCTTAAATCCTCCAGCGAATGACAGTTTGCAGTTTCTTTTATACATTTTTATTTAAGGAGGGAACATAAGGAAGATTGCATGAAGATGGGAAAAAGCAAGACAGGGATTGGATTACAGGACTGTCAACAATGTGCTCTCTTGAGGGCGGTTATACTTTGCAGGGGTCTGAAAAAGATGCATTTCAAACGTGCATTAACCTAAATACACAGAAACAGTGTTGTACAGGGCTTGCTTAAGGCAAAGGTGAACCTTTTATAGTCCTGGAATGTGACTACCCACCATAACCTGCCCACTTAGGAATTTATGTTCAGATCACCCCGTGAGGCTGCATTCTGTCACTGAACATTGTCAGATTTATTACATAGCCCCTTTTACTTTCTTTCATTTTTAAAAATATTAATTTATTTTTATTGTTTGTGCTGTTACAGTTGTTTGCATTTTTTTCTTCCTTTCCCCTCCCTAAGTCAATCCCCATATTGTTGTCTGTGTCCAGTGGGTTGCACAGAAATGTTCTTTGGTTAATCCCTTCACCATCTTTTATCCCGTACCCCTACCCTTCTATCTGGCAGCTGTCAGTCTGTTTCATGTATCTAAGCTTCTGTTACTATTTTGTTCATTAGTTTATTGTGTTCATTAGGTTCCATGTATGTCATAGCCCCTTATTCATTCCTAACTCCCAATTCATTCCCAATGTGGTCATAAAGCCACCCAAAGAATGCAGTGATGACCAGTCTTTTGGTCGGGTAGTGTGGTCTCACAGCACTAGGAAGACCCATTCCCAGGAAGTTTCATTGTCCAAGTTGAATTACCGAAATGGTGAACTTTTGGCAGCAGGTATGAATTAAAGCTGAATTTTCCCAAAAGAGAAGGGTAGGTTAACAGAAGGTCTTATGGGCCTTTATTACAAAAAACACTCTAGATCATTTTTTTCTTTAAGTATAAAAATAAAATCTTTATTTTCAGTTATTACCCACCAAGAAAAGAAAGTTAGGTTCACAGTTTTAGCTCTTGACATTAAGTGAGCTTGGAGGCAAATTAACATTCATTAGATATAACTAATGGACCAACTTGTTAAGGTTCAGGCTATCATGAAAGATTGTAACATATCAGATATTGCTGTGTATTCTTGAGTGACAGAATGCCAGCAATGGCCAACGGTGAGTAGAACTTGAGGTGTTTTTAACAGTAGGTGTTTTCTATATGTTGCTAAAAGTCAAAAGGTTTTATAAACATGTTACATGTCCAGAAATGAGTTAAATACTTGAAAGTCTAAACATAATGATTTAGGAGTACCTATGTTGCTATCTCAGGAGAGGTCAATAGTTCATATAGACTAAATTAATACTTGCCTCTGGGTAGAAGGTAGGTTTGTGAGTATAAAATTATATTAGACATTAGTATAGTACAGAACACACTCAGCATCATAAGATCCAAAACACCAGGACAAGTTATTGGATCATTTATATCTGGTGAACTATCATGATCTGAGTTTTGCTACGTGTCTCAGTATATACAATGGAATATTACTTAGCTATAAAAAACTTGAAAGCTTGCAATTTTTAATAATATGAGTGGACCTAGAGGGTATTATGTTAAGTAAAATAAGTCAGAAAAAAAAACAAATACCATATGACTTCACTTATATGTGGAATCTCAAAGCAAAACAATTAAAAGAAAACAAAGAAACCTACAGATACAATTGATGGTTGACAGAAGGGGCAGGGGGTAGGATGAGCAAAAAAGGTAAAGGGGACTAAGAAGTACAAACTACTAGTTATAAAATTAGTCACAGGATATCAAGTATAACATAAGGAATATAGTCAGTAATACCGTAATCATTCTGTATGAAGTAAGATGGATACTAGACCTATTGTGGTGATCATCTTGTAAGGTGTATACATATCTAATCATGGTGTTGTACATTTGAAATAATATAACATTGAGTGGGGGAGAATGGGCGAAAAGGTGAGGGGGTTAAGAAGTACAAATACATAGTTACAGGATAGCAATGGGGATGTAAAGTACAGTACAGGAAATGGAGTAGCCACAGAACTTATATGCGACCCATGGACATGAACAATGGTGGGGGCATTGCCTGAGGGAGTGGGGGTGCTGTGTTGAAGGGAGCAAAGGGGGAAAAATCAGGACCACTATAATAGCATAATCAATAAAATATAATTTAAAAAGAAATAATATAGCATTGAATTTAAAGTGTAATTGAAAAAATAAATTTTTAAAAACTATATTAGATGATTCTAGCAACAATTGTCAATGGATTCTTTGACCTTACAGCGAAAGGTTAGTAAGGAAAAGGATCTGGGCAGAAGCCAAAGTATCACTGCCTGCGTTAGTAGCCAACTGTAACGGAGGAAATATCTTTTCATGATGCGGAGATGCGGTGTTCACCGCTTTAATCAGGTAAAGAAGCTCTGCATCCACCACAGTGGGACAGCCTGACACTGGTGCCTCCTGATATGGTACCTAGAAAGTACGCAACATTCTCTATGGAGTCTCCCTGTTAGATGGGATAAACTGAACCTCATCTAGCCTCTAGACCCAAACTTCAGGTTCTAGGAAACAGGAATATATTAAACATGAACATAAAGAGACAAATACAGGGACATTTATAGCGCAACTGAGCTGGTCCACCAAAAATTCAATTTTAAGAAAATACGAAAAGAGACTAATGAGACTAGGGGAGGATGTTCCAGGAAAAAAAGCTTCTGTAAAATTTGTTTATTATAACCAAATAAGCATCTGAACCTTTACTGAATCCTGATTGGGGTGGGAGAACAACTATAAAAGATATTTTTAGGAAAATAGGAGAAATTTGAATATTGAGAATATGTAGTATTATGGAATTTCCTTAGATGTGGAATAGTATTGTGGTTTGTAGGTGAGTGTGCTTAAACTTAAGAAATGACTGCTGAGCTTTTAAGGGTAGAATGTTAAGATGTCTGCAATTTACTCACCAGTGCAAAAGAGAAAAAAGCGTACACACACACACACACACACACACACAAACTTGTACATATGCAGGTAAAGAAAATAAAGTGTTAACAGTAAATCTAAATGGAAGGGTATTCGAGTGCTCCGAACACATACTTAAAAAAAAAAAAAATCTTTTCTCTGTCCTTGAAAGTTTTCTTAATAAAAAGAGGGTAAAATGTTAATTAGAACCTGGCCCTTGCTAGGCAAATTCATATAACCTTCCCTGCAACCTATCTTTGTGGCCCGGGAAGAAGGAAGCTCGGAGTCTCCAGGAGCTCGCTCGAGGTCATACACTGAAGAAAAGCTCACAGGAGTCATTTGATTAGCATGCATTCACTGAACACCTACTAGTGGTGAGCACTGTTGTAGATGATGGGGGCGCAGTACTGGATCAGCCTCACATGATCTCGCTTCTTACGGATTAGGGGAGAGGGTGGAGGGAGAAAGGAAATATGGAAAGAGGTGACATGGAGTAGAGACCTGGTGAAATTAGAGCGGTAGTAAGGCTCTGTTGGAGGGGTGTCCCGGCCAGCGGGAAGGGCCAGTGCGAAGGTTGAGAGGTGGGCGTGGGCTCGCGGTAGGTCAGGCAGCGAGGCCTGGGGAGCTGGGTTGTATGCCGCCTGGACGAGGTCAGCGAAGCTCTTAGGCCCTTCAGAGCACTCTGTGGACATTTGTTTTTCATTCTGAGTAGGATGAAAAGACCCTGGAAGATGAATAAATGATTAAGATAATCTCTGTTTCTGTTCAGTGACTTGAAGAAAACAAAATAGGATGGGATTAATAGAGAGGCTTGGGGAGAGTTGCCTCAGCCCGGTGGTCCCGGAGAGCCTCCGTGAGGAGGCGACTTTGAAGCTGAGATCAGAAAGTGGAGAAGGAGCTAGGAATTCAAAGGGCTGGGGGAAGGGAGAAGGAAAGAGATCGGGCCTGGTGAAATGAAACCAGAAGCGAAGCCACGGGGCCCAGAGGCCTGGGGAGGAGCCTCCGGCAGCTGGGGAGGGAGGAGGGTAGGGGGAGCGCCCCGCCCCAGCCGGTCGCCCCACCCGGCCTCTAGGGAGAGAGGAGGCGCCGGGCGGCTCCAGGCTGCCGCCGGCTCTGGTTATCCAGCTGGTGGCCAGCCCCTGGCGGAGGGTGGGGGTTAGAGACCTGGCCTCCCTGGCCACGCCCCAGGTGGCCACGGCCCATCCCCCACGGAGGGATGGCAAGGGAGGGCACGTTGGCGAACTTGGACTCTGCCCTCAAGGACCCTGTTCCCTCTGCCGAGCCAGCCTGTCCACTTCTCTCTCCAGTGCTTTAGCAGGGCAGGAGCTGAGCCACTTAGCCTCAGTTTGTTCACCTGTAAAGTAGGGGTGCTTCTCATACTGGCTTCAGTGTGGTTATCTTCAGGACAGTTAAAGAGAGCCCATTTAGAAATGAGTTAGGTCTGGTTCCCTCCCTTCTCTCTCAGGGCAGAGCTCAGGTTCTTCCTGTGGGACTCCCCGAGGCCCTACATGATTTGTCCCCCTCAACTCTTTTACCTCATCTCCTAGTACCCTCTCCCTTTCTCACTCTGCCGCAGACACACTGACCTCCTCAGGGTCCCAAAACTCTCTGACATGCTCTGACCTCAGGGCCTTTGCATTGGCTGTTCCCTCTGCCAGGATCAGTCCCCTACAGATTCATTTCCCTCACTTCTCACCTCCTTCAGGTCTTTACTCAAATGGTGCCTTTTCACTGATGCCTTCTCTAGTCATCCCATTTATATAGTGATACCCAACCCCCATAACAGTCCTGCTTTTTCTCTACATTTACCACCACCTGACAGGCTGTACATGTTATTTATTTTTTATGTTTATTTCAGCCCCCCCCCCTCCACTATGCTGCTTTAGGAAAGCAAGAGCTGTTTCACTCATGTGCCTGGAAGAGTGCCAGGCCCACAGTAGACACTCAATACATTTGAGCAATTATTGGAACCCTTGGTGTGCATCAGGCATCCTTTTACACACTTTGCAGGACTGCTCAGTGAGGCAAGTCATTACTCCACATCTTCAGGTTGAGACATGCTGGTGTTTGAAGAATGGCAGAGAATAGTGTGGCTGGAGCATAGGAGTGAGAGAGTGCTGGGGAGATGAGTTTGGAGAAGTGGGAGGGTTGGTCATTGCAAGGGTGGGAGTTTATTTTTTCAATAATAGAAAAAATAATTTTTTTTCAGTGCCCACCTGTGCCAAGCATAGTTCTATGCACCAGGGGTTACAGCTGGGCTAAGACCAACAAAACCCCTTCCAATAGGCCAGGAGGCTAACCATAAACAACTAATGAATAACTTGAGATTGGGTAGGTGCTACTAAGAATATCGAACAGAATGTGATGGGGTGATGGTATATCTGGACATTCTGAGCTAGGAAATACAGGGAAGGCCTGAGAAGTGTACCCTGGGGAGTTAAGAGTGAGTGCAAAGGCCCCAGGGTGGAAGTAAATTTGGGATGAAAGGAAACCCATGTGGCTGGAAGTGAGAGAGGGAGGGGAAAGTGGAAGATTAAACTGGGCTAGTTAGGAGCAAGATTGTCAGGTCTCACAGGCTTTGGTGAAGTTGGTATTTCATTCCATGTGAGAAGTTGCCAAAAGTTCAAAGTAGAAGGAAGACACGATCCAATGGGCGTCCATATAGAGATGTGGACATCACGTACTTTCCTGAGATCCTCTTGATCATCATCTTTCTCTTGATTGGCATCCACATGTTACCCCACTGCTTTCAGACTTAGAAGCAATGCCCCTCTCAGGGTGAGAATCTGGCTTTGAACCAGAAAGCACAGGCAAAATTCCCCTTCTTTCCTTGCCTGTGGACTAGTCAAAGCGTGGTTCCTCCCTGCAGCCCTTCCAGAAAAGTCCCTAAAGCTGGGTAAACTCACTCGTTGCTTGTCCTCAAGGCTTTATGGAGGTGTAGCCAGTGCAACAGCAATGTTATCACACTATCTTCCCTGGTCTCCCTTGTTTCCCCCTCACTCACCACCTTGGGCTTACAACTCCCAAATAAACCCTTAGAATCCTAACTTTAGCCTGGGCTTTGCTTCCTAGCCAAGGGTATTTTTCTCCTCTGGGCCTCAGCAGCACATTTCATACAATGAAAGGGCTGCCTCTCAAGTGTCAGAAAGCACTATCCTTTGACACATAATTCACATGACTTGATTTCTCCCTCCTGTGTCTACGTCTGTGGCTGGGGACTCTAAATTACCAAGAAGTCAGTTAAGAACCAGGCTCTGGAAGCAGGTCGAGTTCAAGTCCTAGCTCCCTACTTCTCATTTTTACCAGCTGTGTGACCCTGAAGAAGTGACTTGGCCTCTCTGAATCTCAGACTCCTTTTATATAAAACATGATTATAGTAGGTACTTCTATACAATTGTGAGGACTAAATGACTTAATTCAAATAAAGTGGGTAGAACAGTGCTCTAACAAGAAGTCAATGTTACATTTAATGGTATATCTGGTCCAACTTTGAGGGAAGGTATACAGGTATCTAGGGAACTTACCAGGTTACCTGATATTTACAAACTTTAGACAGCATGATCCCTTCCAAAATATTTTTATTAAAAAAAAATAATTACAATCAAACCCCATCACCCACCCCACCCCCAAACCACCACAAAAACCTGCCTTTCTTTTAAATAATGAGGCATGGAGCAGTTTGGTGTCCACCCTATTGCACGTGGTCCGGCCTGGTTATGAATCAGGAGGCTGCTAGGACTCCGGTACTGTCAAGGAGGTGGGGTTTAGCCTGGGGCAGTGGGGGAGGAGGCCAGCCCCTCCTACTCCTTCCAGGTACAGGAAGCAGAGCTTGGGTTCCCATAGCAACCAGGCAACACATCCCTGTCATCCTTTGACAGGCCCAGCTTATCTTCCCTGAGGCCCCAGTGGTCACAAGAGTAGGAACTAGAGGGAAAGGCAGAAGAAATGCGGAAGTTGGGAATCAGACTCCCAGAAACAGTCTCATTAAGGCATTTGGAACAGATAAATTAATTCAGGAAGACCTGCCTTCACAGAAGGATGTGGTAACCAGACACACACACATATGCACGCACGCACACAAGACAGTTTGTGGAACCCTGAAACGGGAGAAGAGGAGGCCAGTCACTGCTTAAAGCCCCCAATACACACACACACACACACACACACACACATCTAGAGACCCAGCCCACTGAGGCTGAGATGTGGCGGAAACCCCCCCCCACCTCAACTATTAAAAGTTTTAGGATCCTAGAATGATTTCCATGATGTGATCTAGTTCATTCCACTCCCAGGACCCTGGGGCACAGAAAAGGTTGTGAGGAGACTCCGGTGGGGCCAGTGCAGGTTCCTTCTCCACTGTGGAAGTGTCAATGTCCAGAAAAAAGTCATCTAGACCCGAGTCCCCAAGGTACCGAGAGCTCAGGGCTTCTAAGAAAACTGGATCAGGCTGGGGCAGCACTTCGTTCTGGGGGCCTGGGGGAGCCACTGGATTCTGAGGGGTCTCTGTCTCATCCATGGAAGTCTCTAGCTCCCTGAGAATAGAGCCGATGGTGGTAGACAAGGAGAAATCCTCCTCACCCAGGAAGAGGGGCTCAGGGGGCAGGGCAGGTGCTGGAGCCAGGCAAAGTGCGGCCTGGAGCTGCTGGAGCGTGTTGTGGATGAGGACATGTCTGCGGAGGCTGGGTGCTCGGGGGCCCAGGCTTCGCTGGACTTTGTCTAAGGAGATGCGGAGCAGGGCTTGCTGGTAGCTTCGCAGGCCTGCGGGACCCCTGCCCCACTTCTCATCCTCCTCTTCCTCCTCCAAGTCAGAGTGTTTCCTCTTCAAGCCTCCTACCATGATGCCCTGTGGAGAGAAGTGGGGCAAGTTAGACACAGTAGGGCTAGTTCAAATCCTGAATCTCCTGTATGGTTGTTGTTGATTTTTAATGATCATCTGAACTTCAGTCTTCGCATCTATAAAATGGAGATAGTATAAATCCCAGAAGACTAAACAGGAGAGAAAATGTATGTGACTAAGAAAACAAGACCTGGACACAGCTGGGTTTGAATCCCATTCACTTGCCGCGGTCACCTGGAATGTGGCTCCCACGGAGGGAATTAGAAAGGCCGGCTAATGGTGGGGCCCCTTTACTGGCCCCACCGGAGTCTCTCACAACCTCTTCTGTGCCCCAGGGTCCTGAAAGTGGAATGAACTAGATCACATCATGGAAATCATTCTAGGATCCTAGTCTTCCTCCTTGAGATTCAATTTCTTCATCTGCTAGACATGAATCCTAAGTCAAAGTCCCTCTGAGCCTTAAAACTATTCTTTCCCCAATACTCATTTCTCAAATGTGACACATACAAGACCGGTGTAGAATGCAGAGACCTAGACTGGAAGCAGGGAATCCTCGGTTTGAATTCTGCCTTTCGCACTGCTCAGCTGTGTGATATTGGGGAGTGATGTGACATTACCTCTCCGGGCCTCAGGTTCCTCACCTGTAAAACGGGGATTGTAAAAATTCTCACCACATCCTCAAGGAGATCCCACGTGTAATATGCACAGTGCTCATCACACAGGAAATGCTTACTTAACAAGAGTAAATTCCCATTTATTCATTCAATATATTTATTTATTGTCTACTACACTCAAGCCATCTTTAGTCCCGTTAGGGGACGTATTTGTCGAGACTCTTCTTTCAGAGTATATTACGGTCAGTGCTATTTTCCTTTGTGGGAGCGCTCACAACACACGGAAAGGGCCTTTCTAATTCCCTCCGTACGAGCCTTGTTTCCCCCAAAGCGAGGCCCCGTAGAAAAACTTGCTACAACTAGACTCACGCCAAGCCCCTCCCCCTCTCGACCTATCCAACCAGACCTCGGCCCTCTACAGACCCCGCCCCCTGCACGGATCTATATTTGCCTTCAGCAGCCAGGCACGCCCCAGCTTGGCGCAGGGGCTTCTGGGAAATGTGGGCCAAGAGCCGCCAGGTACGTACGTAGACTTTCAGCACGCACTGCAATCCCCAGAGAGCTCCGCACGCCACAAAAAAGAACCTCCCCCATCTTCCCCCAAGGCATGCGCACAAAAGCCCGGGATGGGTGGGGGAAGGGGACCCGGACGTCCAGCGCCCGGCGCCTGCCGAGCCCCGCCCTCCACTACTCCCAGGGCGGCGGGTCTGAGCTCCGCGCCCTGAACACCCCTCCCCCACCTCAGACTGCGGCTCTAACACTGCTTTCTCCAGATCCTTCAGACCCCAAAAGGTCCTGGTTCTTCCCCCAAACTGCTCTCGGAGAGACGCAGGCACAACTCATCGCTCAAAGACTGCAAATGCTCTCCGATCCGCTCCGTTCGGGACACTAGCTATCTCAATTTTGAGACCGTTCCCCCTTCAACTTTCCCCTATTCTCCCCTTCTACAAACGTCTCTCGACCTCACCTCCAAACTCCCCTCTCTGGCTCCAAGACCTGAACATGGAACTCTTCTCAGCACCCTCTCTCCGCCACTGCGCCTGGGAAACCAAGATTGCTTTCTCGCTTCTCCAAAATGCCTGGGATCCCGGCCCCAATCTTTCACATTTTTCCCGAACACTAGAGCCTCGGATTCAACCCGCCTGGGAGACCCGAATTGTCCTAATTTCAGATTTCCTGCCCCCAAAGTTCCTTCCCTAGTTCTTTTGCTTCTCCAAATACTAGCTTCAAATTCCCTCCATTTGAAGATCCTGCCCAACAACTTCGCCGCCTGTCCAGGATCTCGAATTCAGTCCCCGGCCCCCAAACCCTGAATCTGCGCTCCCCGCTCCCACCCAGACTCCGCCTCCACAACTCCCCGGACGCGCCTCCACCTGCCCCAACACAAGGCAGGTCTCAAGTCGGGCAACCACCCCTCACCTCAGCTGCTAGGTTCACAACGACTATCTTCTGAAACGTCCGAAGCTTTGCGACCCTCCAATGCTTGCCTCCCTGGGGCCTCTGGGTCTGGCCTCTGGTTCACCCAGCTCCACCCAGTAGCCAAGCCATGAGCCGCGATTGGCTCGAATTATTACCGCCGCTGGGCGCGGATTGGCTTGGCGTAGCCACCCGCCTCTCGCCTGAAGACTGCTTACCCGCCCTCCCTTCCCTGGCGCCCGGGACCATTTAAAGGATTCCGACTCCCCAGGGGGCGGGGCCACCTCTGTAGGGTCGAGGGGACATCAAAACTGTTTCCTTCAAATCAGCTACTGTCCTCGCTCCAAGATCGTCAGCACTGCTCTCTGAGACCCTTTATATCAGGCTTGGACCTCGTTGCATAGCAAAACTGGCCGTCACGTTTCGCCTCACCAGCTCTCTGAGAAGGCGGGGCTGAGCCACTCGCGGAGGCCGCGCCCCCGGAGTTCCGAGGACGGCTGCTCCGAAGCGCAGAATGACGCCGCTGAAGGCCAGCCAATAGTTTCGCGCGGCGTACGTTTCCTGAGCGACCGCAGCCCGCCCCTTCTCTGTCGCTCCTCTGCGGCTCTGGACGAGACTTTACCTCCAAGGCTCCCTAATCTTCAAGACTGCTTCAGGCAAGTCCTCTGGTGGCAGGTTCGTTCCGCATCCTTCTAACACCCCGTCCTGTCTCTCTGGACTGCACCTCCGCTGCTGGAGACTGACTCACGACTCTCCACTACCCTGAGGACAAAGTCCAAATTCCTTACTTGTGCCACAAAGTCCTTCACGATCTGGCCTGATGCACCCTCCTCATGCCACACCAATTCACTCTGAGTTTTTCTAGAATGACTTCAAGTGCCCTTCACCACCTTGAACTAAGAGATTTTGTCTGTATTTACAATACTGCTAGCTACATAGCAAGTACTCAAAAATGAGAATTAAAGGGGGTCAAATATATGGTAAGAGATGTAAACTTAGACTTTTAGGGGTGAGCACACAATATAGTATACAGATACTGAATTGTAATGTTGTACACCTGAAATTCCCATAATGTAATAATGTTACTTCAATGAAAATTAATTTAAAAAAAAAAGGTTTCTGGCCCTTTAAACTTGTTTCCTCGTTCTGAAAATAGACCTTCAATTCTCAGGCTGCCTCTCATCAGAAATCATCTCAAAGGCTTCCTCTTCTTGGAAGCCCACTCTGAGGCTCCAGGGTGGATTGTTTCCCATGGGTCCTGTGTTTCCCCCATTGAAGCCTTGACCCCTCTGCCCATGTCTCCCCCATCCTGGCCTTGAGCTGTCACAGCCTGGACTGTGGGACCCCTGATGAAAGGTACCAAGGTTATCTCTGTTACCCACTGTATAGTCACAGCAACACCTAGCAGAGGGCTGGACACAAAGCAGGCGTCCAGGGAAAGTTTGTTAAATACCCAGACAATGTGGCAGACAGAAATGAAGAGGGCAGAAATAAAACAGTGCTAGTGTCCAGAAAGTTTGAATCAGTAGTGCCCCACCCCCACAAGTTTTCACCAGCCTACCCAAGACCAGTTCTCATGGGTTGGAATTTGACAATCAAGTTATCCTGCTGTTTGCAGAAACAGTGTAAGACTGGAATGGATTTTGCGGGTGGTAGAGGTGGGGGAGGAGGGGAGAGGGTGTTGCAGAGGACCTGGGAAGAGTCTAGAGGTAGCAAGAGAGGAGTGGCTCTCACTCAGGCCTGGGAAATATGTCTCTGGGGAATAAAGGCAGGGACAGTAGATTTCAGACGGACATGATTAGGAAGGGGCCATTCTTTCCTTCTCTCTCCCAAACCTGTCCCTACTCTGGGGTCTTCAGCTCAGGGAGGCCCCACTGTAACCTGGTTCCCAGGTTACAGCTCTCTTTCTTCCTGGATGCTGCCCTCCCCTCCCCGTGGTTGTAGCTGTTCCACTCAGGCTCCACCCACTCTCTCTTTCCCTTCTCAAGGTTTCTGCCTGGCACCCCTGGGCTCCCAGCCTCTACTCTTGCCCTCCTCCCGCCCACCTTCACACAATAGCCAAGGGATGTTTTATAAGAAGACCCAAACCTTACTGGGCCCCCTCCCCACCAATTAGTTCCCTGCTTCCCTCCTTGCATAAAGCCTCAGAATAAAGTTTAAACTTTTTACAGTGTCTCTGCACAATTTAGTATCCGTGGAACAGCCTCTTGGGTTGACCACTCCTCACCTCTGAGAAAAGAATTATTAACCATAGGGGACAGATTTTGGTTCCTGTGCTCTCCAGCACCCCGGTCTTTGCTCATTTAGTTCCTTCTGCCCAGAATGCCATCACACCTTGGGACCTTTTCCTGGCTCATTCTTACCAAACCAGATTTCAGGTGGGAACTCCCCTGTTCAACAGAGCCTTGTTTACTCCCCAAGTTAGAGCAGGTATCCTCTCTGAGTTCCCACAGCCCTCTGCGCTTCCTCCATCAGAGCCCTGATCACTGTGGGTTGTCACTGTCGGACTGTGAGATCTGTGAAGGCAGGACTCACCGCTGCTTAGTCACCACTGGGTCCCCAGCACATGGCAGGTGCGGAACAATGACTCAATGAACTGTAACTGAGGAAATGAATGAAGGAATACCCAGAAAATCTTACACACAGGGCAGACAGAGACACTGAAATACCCAAAGCCAGAGTTGGGCCTTCTCGTACAATCTGAAGCTCTTGGCTCAAGATTTATTGCTCCATTTCTTTGTTCTGCATTTCCCAGAATGCTGTCCTCCTGGACAGGGACAGAGCCCTAGTTGTACTGGTGGGAAGGGTAGACGTTGTGCCCATCATACTCATTGGTGGTGAGGCAGCGCAGCATGAAGTGGCCCAGGTCATGTTTGGAGATGACCCTCGAGGGCCCACGTCCATCCAGGGTCACTGAGTAGGCCCCAGTCAGTGGCTGGTCTCCTGTGAAGTAAAGATAGAAGGGACGGGTGAAGATGTTCTTTCACCATCCCCCAACGTGTGGTCACTACAATGATGGTTTCTGGGGGCCTACAGTGTGCCCGGCCTGAATGGTATAAGAACCAACAATGTATGAAACCCTTCCCATGTACAGGGCACTAATCTATACCCTTTACTTTATTCATCTGACAAATCGTTATTGATGACCTATTGTGTCAAGTGCTGGGCACTCAGCAAAGGACAAAGCAGACACAAATCCCTGCTCCTAGCATGCAGAAATTTGCTAAGGAAAGGTGACTAATAAGATAGGGAAGTACAACTGATAATATGTTAGATTGGGAGAAATAAAGCAGAAAATGGACCAGGAACCACTTATTAACTCTATTTACAAACAGGTACACTGAATCTGGGAAAGAGGAAGTCACTTGCCAGTGGCAAAGGCTAGATTTGCTCTAGGTACCTCCATCTGGATGCTCTCCAATCTCTGGACCCCTCTGGGAGGACAGAGTGACATGCCCCGGGCATGGGTCTGTATTTCATAGGCAGTGAAAGGGCTCATTTTTCTGGCCTTGCGAATATGGAGTTGGTGTGTCCTGATGCCAATGATACAACTAGGTCTTTCTTAGACAACAGAAACAGCACATGGGCATGGCCTAGCTGTTACAGGGCATCTAGTGGCGTCATGATAATAATTTTAAAATAATATCTGCCAGTGAGCAACTTAATTTAGGGATCAAAGGCAGCATACCAGTATAGGAACAACCTGGAATGCTATGCAATAAGAAATGCTCACACTTACCCTCATGGCATTCCTACTAAAAATGTTTGCTCCATGTCTGTGAGAACACAACCAAAAATTCAGAATGTGGGGTATTTAAAAAGATGCCAGGCCTAGTTAATGTTGCGAGAAACATTAAAAAAAAAAAAAGATATGAAAGAATGCTCCAGATTTAAGGTGACATGGCAACTCACTGCAATGCGTGATACTCAGTTAGACCCTGATTTTGGGGAGAGGGGGAGATTGGAAGATATTTTTTGATAATCTGGAAATTTGAATATGACATGGATACTAAATGATATGCTAGAGTTCACATCAGTTTCCTTGGTTCAATAACAGTCTTGTGGCTTATACGCAAATATTTTTCTTCTTGGGAATGTCTATTGAGGTTCTACCAGTGAAGTGTGAGAATGTTTGCAACTTATTTTCAAACTGTTCAGTCAAAAATACGAATATATATAGCCCTGGCTGCTGTGGCTCAGTGGACTGAGCGCCGGCCTGCAAACTGAAAGGTTGCCAGTTGGATTCCCAGTCAGGGCACGTGACTGGGTTGCCGGCAGGGTCCCCAGCTGAGGGGCGTATGAGAGGCAGGCAATCGATGTTTCCCTTCCTCTCTTTCTCCTTCCCTCCCCCTCTCTCTAAAAATAAATAAAATATTTGAACACAATACTAATACACACACACACGCAATTAGATACATGCAAAGATAATTGATAGCTAGCCCGTTATACATAGGAAGATAGGGCAAAATGCAAAGAAGGCAAAAATATTAAAAACTAAACCTAAATAATTTTAGGTATTCATACACTTTAACTCCTTCAACTTTTCTGGGGGTTGCAAAGTTTTCACATGCACACATAAAAAAATAAAAAAACTAAGAAAAGTACTTTGTGTTAAATAACTTTTAGGCATGACCTCTCTGGGTACTTATTCCAAACCTAGCAGGTCAAGAAGCAATATGATGAGCCCTGTTTACAGAGAAGGAAACTGAGGCTCAGAGGCCAGGGGTTTGGGTTTTCACCCAGCTTCTCCACTAGGCAGCTTCCCTGATTCAAAGCTCAGGATGCTAGTTCAATAGGATCTTGGCTTACAGCCACTTGACTGCATCTAAAGAGTGAGCCTTATTTGACCCTCTAGGGTATGGCAATCCACACTCCTGTCGGGGGTCCCAGAAAGCAGAGGGCAAAGCAGAACTATGCTTTCAGTGGGCGGGCGACAGGGAAGGAGTCCAAGGGTCTGGCGTCCGGGTCTTTACACTGCTGTTCCTTATCCCAGTCTTCCCTTCCCTCAGACCTTCAACTGACTCCCTCCCTCACTGCATGAAGCCATCTCCTTAGAGAGCTTATGCTTCCTAAACTACACACCATTACTACTCCCTTCACTGTGTGTGTTTCTTCATTCATTCACTGTGGTGCTGCCCACCAGTAATATCATCATCTATCTTTACCTCCCCCACAAGAAATGTAGGCCTCCTGAGGGCAGAGGCTTCATCACCAGTGCTCATAATGGTGGCACAGTTCAAATGCAAGAGACACATCTGTTGAATGAATGGCTCTCCCTGTGTCTGACTCTGTCTCTCAGTGTGGAATACAGACCTGGGAGGGGGAAAGAGGGTGCAGGTGATGTTTACTTGTTGCCTCCCAAACAACACCGTGAGAGGTGGTTCCCCTGTGTTAGTTCACCTGACAAACATATACTGAACATCTACTATATGCCAGGTCCTGTTCTAGGCACTAGGATCATGGCTGTAATCTAAACAAGACAAGATCTGTGACGCCAAAGAGGTGACATCCTAATGAGGGAAACACACACTAAGATAAAGAAATGATAGGACATGTGTGGGGAAGTGTAAGTCCCCTTCCTTTGAATCTGGACCCATCCTGGGAACTCACTTCTAATAAACAGAAAGGAGCAGAAACAGCACTAAGGGATCCGATCCCAGGGAGGCCGAGGGCAGGTGTTCCAGCCACAGTCGCGCCATCCGTCAGCGTGTCTTGGGGGAAGTCTGGCTCCTCTCCCAGCTACTGAGCAACCTCAGGTGCAAGCCTCACCCCCTGAGCCTAGTCTAGGGTACCAAGACAGGAAGTCATAATATATGAGTGGTTTGGTCAACAGAGATAATCAAAATGTATGTTAAAAAGGAGAATAAAATCAAGCGGGAAAGAGGACAGAGTGTGGAGGGAAGGTTTGCAGTTTTGGATGGGCCAGGCAGGTCCTGGCAGATGTCTCCAGAGGACAGGAGCGGGCAGGCTGGAGGTGACCTTGCCACTGGGTCCCAGCCTCACTCACCTATGTGGGGCGGCATCACGGCCACGTACTTCAGACCCGAATCCTGCAGCACCTTGTGCATCCGAATGTGGTCATTGGTCACATCCTGTAGTCGTGGGGGCACCTTGGCCGGGTCCCAGAGCAGGAAGGCTGGGGGCACACGGTGCAGTGTCAACCAAGGAGTGAGGAAGCCCAGCCAGGACAAAACCCTGCAGGGGCTCACTGCTGTCTTCCAGCTGCTTCCAGCTCAAACCGTCTCTCTCCCTCAGCCCACATAAGAGCTGACCGCTTCCCACTCCCCATCTGCTCCGTCCGCCATCACCTCCTGCCTGGACCATGGTAGCAGCCTCCTCTGTGGCCTCCCTGCCTCTGTCCTCACAGTCTGTTCCCTGAATGCAGCCACAGGGGGCCTGTGAACACCCGGAGGAGTTGGAGCTCCTCCGTGCCTCTCATTCAGGGTAAAAGCAAAGTCCCCATCAGGGCTCACAGGGCCCTACCTAATCTGGCTCCATCAGCCCTCTGGCCTTACCACCCAACACCCTCCCCTTCACTAGCTCTGCTGAAGGCACGCTCTGGTCTCATAACCTTCACAACAGCTGATACCTCTGCCCACAGTCCTGTTATCTCGCCATGCAGCCCTCCCTCACGCCACTTCCCTTCCTGGGTAGCAACTGGTGTGAGGAATCAGGTGAGGAATGTGGACTGTGGAGACACACAGCCAGGTATCACACACCAGCTCTACAGCCAAGAGCTGTGTGATCTCAGGTAAGCTGATAGGCCTCCACTGCCTCTACCACTTAGCTATACAAGAGAGACAATAGCTACTGCTTACTGAGCACCTACTATGTGCCACCATGAGTATAAATACTCAAAGGAGTTTTGTGAAGATGAAGTGGCATTCACCCGTGCTCAGATGGTGCCTAGCATACAGTAAGTACTCAGTAATTGTTACCTGTCAGCATTAACTGCTCCTGTTATGTACCCTGCAGTCTTCTTTTTGGATTATTTGGGGCAACTGTTTGTTCAAAGTCTCTTGCCCCATAAATGGGGAGGTCTGTGAAAGCAGAGACTTGGCCTGCATACCCATACCCGTCACTTCCCCTAGAAGGTTCCCTCTGACCTTGTCTCAGCCTGGGTTAAGCACCACCTCCGAGCTCCCAGTACTCCAGGCTTCTCCCTATCCCAGCCCTGAACCCTCTGACTGAGCCCCCCGTCCTGGCCCTGGCAACTGTGGCCTGTCACTGTTTCATGATGGCTCTGTTTACCACTTCCCTGTCCTCTGTGGAATCCATCAGTGTAGGGCCCAGGGCTGCTTGGGTCACCACTACGTCCCTGGCATCTCCCAGGAAGGTTCAGGCACTCAATTAATCTTCGATAAATGCACAGTAACTTGGGATGGCACCAATGCCACCTTGCAAAGGCCCTTGGGCTTTGTACCCACCCCACCCTTCACCCCACCCCTATGTCCCCACCACCCACCCGAGGTGCAGGCCACGACCTTGTCCACACCGTGGGCCTTCATGGCTGCCACAATGTTCTGGGCACCCTCGGACATCATTGTGGTAGGACCTTAGAGAGGACAGAGAGTGGCTGTCACTGGCGGGTGGCGGCGGCGGTGGCAGGGGTGGCAAGGGTGGGGCCGGGGGTGGGGGTGGTGCTGGGGGCCGAGGTGCAGGTGTGGGCCGTGGGCAGAGGGGGGGCCTAGTACTGAGGTCATCGCGGGTGCCCAACAGCACGATGACAGCATCCTGCCCAGCCACGGTCTTGTCCACATCAGCTGCCTGCAGAACATTGCCCACGACCACATGGGCTGGCTGGGGCCCCTCTGAAGGCAACCTGGAGGAGTCCCGCACCAACACTGTCACCTCATAACCTGTGGGCAAAGAAGGACAGAAAGGCAGGTCAGTGGGCTTGTGGGCTGGCACCGGCGGGCTGGCACTCCTGGGCTCCGGGGGCTGGGTCCTGGAGGGTGTCATGAACCTTCAAATATACCCCCCTCGCCCCTGTTCAGAGGCAGTAGTCTCCAAGCATTTCTGTTGGTATACCCACAGTTGATATTCAGCTGGTTATTAAAAATGGGCCATTCCTTCATGCCGGTTCAGCAATTACTTGCATTGATGCCTCCAAGGGCCTCCCTGCCCCGCCCCGCCCCCAGACTTCTCCAGCCTCTGGCAACTAGAGGGTTAATGTCACAGTGGTCTATGATCCCCATCCATAGTCCTGGAGGAAAGGGAGACACAGAGGGAGCCGTGAGTTGCCCAAGGGTGCCCAGAGATGGGATTTGTCTCTCATGCCTTGTTTCTGGACGACTGGGCCCTGGCTTATTGGTTATTAAAGATTCTGAACATGGCCTTGATGTTACCTTCCAAAGGAATTTTTGATAACTTCTGTCCCCCACAACATACACCCATTTTAAAGTTCATAAGCAACATGCTTTTCCTTTGTTTTAAACAATGGCAAAAGATGTTAATGTGTGGGTGTGTTGCAAATGGTGATATAAAAGAAATAAAATGATTAATTGTGGACTCTGATATGGATTGACTACATTCCCCCCCAAATTCATACCCTGAAGCCCTGACCCTAAAGTGACAGCATTTGGAGGCAGGGCCTTTGGGAGGTAATTAGGTTCAGATGAGGACATGGGGATGGGGTCCCCATGATGGGATTTGTGTCGTTAGGAGAGGAAGACAAACCAGGGCTCGCTCTCTCTCCATCACGTAAGAACACGGCAAGAAGTCAGCCATTGGCAGGCCTGGAAGAAGTTTCTCACCAGAAACCAAATCTGTGGGTACCTTGATCTTGGACTTCCCACCCTCCAGAACTGTAAGTGTGAGAAATAAATGTCTGTTATGTAAGCCACCCATCCTATGGTATTTTGTTATAGCCGCTCAAGCTGATGAAGTCAGCCTATGTCATTTTCCTGAAAAAATGAACCAGTCTCCTTGAGAAATGGCTGCTGGGCCGGGGCCGGGAGAGGGCCGGCTGCTGAGCAGTGCTCAGGGAGTGACGGGGCTGCGAACTCAACTGAAACACATCGAATAGGTAAAAATCTGTGGGCTCACATTGATAGTAACAAAGAGACCTCACTATTCATCACTTGTCAGAGGATTAACCGCTTACTCTGAAAATAATAAAGGAGGAGAAACAATAAAATTGTCCCATTTCTCTCGATATCTGTCATCACCCATTTCAAAAACAAACGACAGGAGGTTTTTACACGCTGGGGCAAGGACGACGATGATGATAATAATGATACATATGTGTAGAATACTCACTATGTGCGAGCTGCCAAGAGCCTTTATGTACATTAACTCATTACTTCTCAAAGTAACTCTGAGTTTGAATTCCGGCCCTACTGAATGACATTAGGCAATTCACTTAACCTCTTTGGGCCTCAGAGACTTCATTTGTAAAGTGACACAAATAATAGTATCTGCTTAATAGGGCTGTTGTAAGTTTAAATAATATAACTAAAAGTTTATGTAGACAGTTGATTATTGACAAAGGTTCTAAGGCAATTCAATGGGGGAAAGAATAGCCTTTTCAACAAATGGTGCTCGGACAATTGGCTATCTGTGTGTAAAAGGATGAAGTTGGATCTCTACCTCATACCATATATGAAAATTAAATTAAAAATGATTCAAGACCTAAATTTAAAAGCTAAAACTATAAAACACTTAGAAGAAAACTTAGGCATAAATCTTTGTGCCTTTGGATTAGACACCTAGCTGTGACACCAAAAGCACAGGTAACAACAACAAAATAGATATATCATCAAAATTAAAAATTTACATGTTTCTAAGGACACTATCCAGAAAGTAAAAAAAAAAAAAAAAAAACCAACTCACAATGTGGGAGAATAAGTTTGCAAATCATATATCAGATAAGGGACTTGTACTTCAGATATATATATAAAGAACTTCTACAACTCGATAAGGAAAAGATGAATAATCCAATTACAAATGGAAAAGATCTGACATTTCACCAAAGTAGATATACAAATGGCTAATAAACACATGAAAAGATACTCCATATCATTAGTCATCAGGGAAATGCAATCCAAAACCACAGTGAGATACCACTTCACTCCCACTAGGATGTCTATTATAAAAAAGACAGACAGTAAATGCTGGTGTGCATGTGGGGAAATCAAAACCCTCATACAATGCTGATGGGAATGTAAAATGAATGGTGCGGCCACTTTGGAAAAACAATCTGGCAGCTCCTCAGATGGTTAAACATAGCATTACGCAGCCATTCCACTCAAGAGAAATGAAAACATACATCTGCATAAAAAACTTGTACACAAATGTTCGTAAGAAGCATTATTCATAGTAGCCAAAAAGTGGAAACAAATCCAAAAGCCCACCAATTGAATGGATAAATAAAATGTGGTAGATCCATACAATGTATCCAATAAAAAGAAATAACATATTGATACATGGTACAACATGGATGAACCCTGAAAAAGATTTTTTTGCTAAGTGAAAGAATCTAGTCACAAAGAACCACCTATTGTATGGTTCCACCTATATGAAATGTCCAAAACAGGTAAATCTACAGAGACAGAAAATAGATCAACGGTTGCTGGGGGAAAGGGCTGGGCAGGAAAGTGGATATGACTTCTAGGGGTTTCTTTGGGTGATGAAAATGTTCTAAATTGTTTGCGATGATGTTTGCACAACTTTGTGAATATGCTATATATCATTGAATTGTATATTTTAAAGGGGCTAATTGTACAGTGTGAATTGTATATTAATAAAGCTGTCATAAAAATGCAAAACCAGAACTAAGACAAATGAAAAGTTTAGGTGAGTGCTTGCCACAGGAATGAGCGCTAGATGGGTGTTGGCTGTTATTATGCCTTTTAATCATCTCACAACGTTATTTCCTGGCCTGGTCTAGTCCTTTCTGGGCTCCTGACCCCTGTCACATCACCTCCAATCCATATACCATAGAGCAGCCCGACAGAGCCTTCCAGACAAGCGCACCCTGCTCAGATCCCTCCCATGATACCCCAGTGTCCTGAGATATGAAGCCCTCGGGACAGCCTTTAAGACCCCTCACGATCGGGCCTGCCCTCCTCTCCACCCCGTGCTGCAGCCACTGCCCTCTTGACCCGCTGCATGTCTCTCAGTTCCTCGAACACATCGTGCTGCTTCCTGGCCCTGGCACGTGCTGTCCCCTGCCTGAATCACCCTTTACCCACTTTCCCCAGGCCCCACCAGCCACTCATGCCTCCTCTGTCACGAGCCTACTTATGCTGACCTGGAATAAACCAAGGCCCTACAGGTCCAGGGACTGTGTCATATTTGCCACATCTCTCTGACTTTTTGTAAACACAAAAGCACTAGCTTTGCTGCCGTAAACACCTGGGTTCAAACTCCAGCTCTGCCACTTACTGGCAGAGGAACTGCAGGAAACCCCTTTTAGTCTTCTCTAGAAAGGGAAGGTCATCAACTTTGTAAGGTATACAAGTGTCTAATCACTATGTTGTGCACCTGAAACTAATATACTATTATATGTCAACCATAATTGGAAGATACATTAATTTTTTTAAAAAAGAAAAGAAAGTGAAGATCACAATCCTCAGTGTCTCCATCCCGTGTGACCACCTTTCATAAGGGAATGACACAAAACCCGTGCTGCCCTCACATGCATCAGGGAGCAGCAAGCGCTTTCAGCATGTCGATGCGGGCATTAGTGAACTGCCACTGTATTGGTTAAGAGATCCTGGTGAATTGCAGGCATTTGGGGAGAAAAAGACATATCTCACAGGCAGTGAGAGCTTTGACACAAGATTGCAGCACAACGGTGCCCATGGATTGTTACATTATTGGCGATTAGTGGCATTTATTAGAAGTGCTGTGCAAAGCTCGTTTTGCAGATAAACGTGATTCCTCCCTTCAAATTTTTAACACAAGTGATGTTTCAATTTTAATTTAAAAGTAAGTTGGTGGCTATCATACCAAACAGATTTAGAATTCACAGGTTTTACCCTTTATGAAGAATAAAAGCATTTGTAAGGTATTTCTCAACTTTTTCTTTCTTTTTTCTTTTTTCTTTCTAACAAAGCTCTTACTTTGTTTAGTTTTCTGTTAATTATTTTGAAATAAATTCAGACCTATGGAAAAGCAACAAGACCTAGATTTTCATATTGGTTTTGCTTTACCTTTCTCTGTTTCTGTGTATATAATACACTTATACATAATTATATATGTGTATATAAATATACTTATACATATATAACTATATATGTAACACATACATAGTGTTTTCCTAACTAGTTGAGAGCATGTTTCAGAGTTCATGCGCCTTTTAGGCTTGTTTGATTTCAACCCTCAATACAAAATTTATTTCACAGCCTAATCCAGTATACACAAATGCATAAAACCAATATATAGAAACACATATCACAATATTTACATGTGATACATTCAGACACTGTTGTGACCAATTGCATACAGTCAAAACTCACCATGACCCAGTTTGAAAAGCACCAGACTGCAAAAACCTTACAAGGTAGGTATTATTATGCCTTTTAAGGATGAAGACACTGAGGCAGTTTTAGGTAACTGGGCCAGGATCACACAACTGTGATCTAAGTTCACTCAATCAAGGAATGCTTATTGAGCACCAATTATGTGCTAAACATGATTCTAGGCACTCTCCATATATCATCTCATTTCATCATCAAAAGAGCCCCAGGGCAAATGCTATTAGTTTCATCCCCACTTACATAGACCACAAGACATTTGGCCACACAGGCGGTTAAGTGGCAGAGCTGGGGTTTGAATGTGCGCAGGCTAGCACGGGAGTCCATGCCTGTTAGGACTCGGCCCCACAGAATCACTGAGGTGAATGGAAGCCCAGCTCATTCAACAGCGAGGCTCTGAGCTGTGCAGGAACTCGCCTGAGCCACAAAGAGAAGGCAAGGCCTCCTTAGGCCCCAAGTCCCAATTCCCCAGGGTGCAGTCCCAATTGTGACCAGCAGGGTGGAGGAGCAGAATTCAGTGGAATTCGAGCTTAAGGAAAAGGGAAGGCGAGGAAACCTGGTTCCTCAGGGTGACTCAGCAATACTTAACTTCTTCTTACAAATACTTATCAGCAAATATGTTTCTCCCTTCCCAAAAGTCAAGATCCAAACTAGGTTTTCCTGGGGAGGGGAAGAACAGTGGGCCTCGAGGGGAACTTACAGGCAGAGTCCCTCCAGGGGAGGGCTGGCCTAGAAGACAGCATAGTGTAATCCTGGTGGCCTCCACCCTTTTGGGGCACCCAGATAGTCAATATCTTCAGAGTCACCAAGACCAGCAAGGGCAGGGCCCTATATCTGGAAGTCCCAGGCCTGGCTGGGTTTTGGTGAAGTCTGGACAGTGTGGGCAGAAGGCTGCCCAACTGTCCCCTTCCCTGAGGCAACTCTGAATTTTTAGCCTCATTGCCTTTCCAGGGTCCACAAGTCTCCACCGTGTCTCTGCGATCCTCTCTCCATTAGACGGTTACAGCAACCTGCCCCTCAGACTTTTCAACCTCCAGCCTTGGCGTTGAAGCCAAGAGCTAGCAGGCTTTTGGTGGTTAAGAGGACCGGCTCGGTTCAAATCCCAGCACTGTCACTTCCCAGTTGTGTGACACTGGTCAAGTCTCTCTCCCCTCGGCCTCAGTCTTCTCTGTGAAGTGAGATGACAGAAGATCCAACCTCACACTGAGTGCTGTGAGGATTTAACACGTGTGATGAGAGGGAGGTGCTGGGAGGCAAGCGCTTCCTGGCTTAGTGAGCCCCCGCGGGGTGTGCAACCACCACCGCAAAGACAACACCTGTTTGTAAGCGCCTGGATTTAAACCTGTCATTGGAGTCTCCCAGCCTCCCAGGGCCCACTCCTATTCCTTGAACTCACATAAAATTGGATGGCATAGCGTTCCCCACTTCTGCCCCGGCAGCCACCTGCTTTGCCCTCTGGATCCTCACACACCAAGGCACTGATGGCCCCAAAAGGCCTCGGCTCGACCCCACGATGCCCCTTCCTAGTGCTCTGCCTGTGCACCCCGTGGCATCTCCCGCCCGCCCCAGCTCATGCCTGCTTGCACCGCCTGAGCCAGCGTGGTGAGCCCGGTCCTGCCGGTGGCGCCGAAGATGGCAATCTTCTTGACGGCCATGCTGCGAAGTCGTGGGGGTGCGAGGCCGCGGAGTCTCGGGACGCGCGGGAACCTACAGACTGCTGGGCCGCCCTCCGCGTCCTTCTTTAGCTGGAGGGACAGAACGCGGACCGCTCGGGAGACCACGCCTCAGTCCGCCCCAGGGCAACTCGCTCCAGCCGAGGGGCGGGGCCTAACGGGCCTCCCTTCCAGAAGGGGAGAGCGGGGTGGGCGGGGCTCGCCGCCTTCTGCCGCCCAGCACCGCCCCCTCCGCCCGCCACTTAGACTGGGAGGTGCCGCCGTGTCTGATGGACAAGAAAATGTGGCTCCAGCGCTCCGCCTCCGCGCTCTGCCACGCCCACCAGTCTCTCCTAGTTCACGCCCCCAGGGACTAGGGCGGTGGGTCCGGGACTCACACTACGCCCAGGGCCGCCACAGGGGGAAAGTGCGGGAGGACAGTGTGGGCGTGCCGGTTTGACACTGTAACTGTGTGTCTATGTGTCCGTGTGACTCTGTGACTGTGAGTAACCCCAAAGGGGAGCGTGATTGTGGACACCACTTGCCATCCTCTGTGTGTAACACGGCATTACAAAGTGAAGCCTGTGTGACGCCGCATGGGACAAGCATTGATCTGTTTTTGTGTGACCTTGTGGTGACACTCTGGGTGACACTGTGTCAGTCTGTGATGCTGTCTGCATCCACGACTCAGGGGAACATGTGTGAGACATGTGTGAAAGATGTGACAGTGTGTGGCTCTGTTAGATGTGACAGTCTGACACTGCATGTGTCATGTAAGGATGTGTGACGCAGACCCCCTTTGAGTGTGTGGCTATGGCTGTTACTGTTGGGATGCTGTTTGTGACCTCCTGTGACGTGATGTATGAGTGTGTGATACCGCAGGATGTGTGACCCCATGTGAGTGTGACTGGTATGACAAGTTTGGGTGTGAACAAAATAAGTGATACTGTGTGATTGTGAAGCTGTGTGCGATGTGTGAGTATATGGCGCTCTTCGTGACACTCAGAGGAGTGTGGAACAGTGTGTGTGTGTGACACCGCATGGGTGGTGGCGATGGCACTGCCTCGGTGTCCCAGTGCGCGACGCCGTCGGGCACCGTGCCAGTGTGGGACCCAGTGTGGGTGTGTGATTGCGTGTGCGTTTGCATGTTTGACCCTGTCTGAGCCCATATGACGGGTGACAGCATGTGAGTGTGAATGTGGATAATGTTTGTGATACTGTATGTGACGCTGTATGTGTGACATTGTTAGTGTGTGACTGTGTGTGATGCTACTTCTGGGCCCCAAGAGCGCACCTGTGTATCGCACGCCGCGGCCGGGCGTGTGACCGCGCGTGGGCCCACGCTGTGGGCGGCGGGGGCTGCGGGGGACGCGGACGGGAGGGGGTCCCGAGGGCGCGCGAGCGCGGCGGCCGCGCGACTTGGGAGGAGGCGCGGCGGCGGCGGCGGCGGCGGCGCATGCGGATCTGGCCGAGCAGCGCGGCCGGCGAGGCCGAGCGGAGCCGGGCCGCTCCGGGCCGGGCCAGGACGCCGACAAGGAGGGCAGTCGGGCGCCACGAGCAGTGGGGATAGCAGCACCGGCAGCCGCCGGCCCAGGTGAGCAAATGGGGGCGGAGAGTTCCTCCCTGCAGCATCTCCCCACCTGCCTGAGCATCCCTCCTCCGCGCGCAGGGGCGGTAGCTTGGGCCGCCAGGGTCTCCCTGGCTGGGGGTAGGCGAGGGGTCGAGGACAGCATGAACCCCCACCTTCCCACCCAATTCAGTCTGCGCGCCGTGCGTGAGTCTTCCACCCAGGCCTTGTCCTTCCTAGGCCCCCTCCTTGGGAACGGTGACTAGACTGCAGGGAGAGAGAGGCGCGGCCTCTGAAAGGTTAAAGCATGTGTTCCCCATCCTCAGCCTTGCATCCCACCAGCCTCTGCTGGGGCCACAAGACACTTCTTTCCACCCCCCACCTTCCACCGCTTTCTTCTTCCTTCCTTCTCCATTCAGTCACGTAATGGCCAAGGCTGTTCGAGGGCTGTTCCCTGGCAGCCTGAGAGTTCACAAAGTGCTGAGTGCCTCCCCGTTCCCAGGTCCTCCATTGAAGAAATAATTATGTTCACTATTTAACAGGGAGGGAAACTGAGGCACCAAGAGGCAAGCTAAAGATACTGAGTTAAAGATACAGCAAGAATAAAGCAGGATTTGAACTCATTTCTGTCTGACTCCAGCACAGGCACTTTGATTTGCTAAGATAATGTGACCAGAGGGTGAAAATACTAGCAAGGACCATGTTTTGAGGGTTTGCAGGTGCTAGTTACTATGTTCTCTGCATCATTAAATCATTTTAATCTTCAAAACCCCTTGGGAAATGGGTACTATTATCATTACCATTTTACAGATGACCAAATTGAGGCCCAAAGAGGGGAAGTGATTTGGCCAAGGTCACACAGGTGGTAAGTAGCCATGTGTCTGCATAACTTTCCATGGAAGAAGGGAAGACTAACAATGGATTTTGGAGTGTCCACAAAAAGAGACAATGTCCACCCCATTGACCAAGATGTAGATCCTGCCTTCTTACCATCTGGTGGGTTGGCAACTGTCTGAGTCTTATGAGAAGGGAGACATTGATTTCCTCCCAGTTCTCTCCTTTCTTCATCTTAGAATCAAACTTGGATTCCTGGAGGGTAGAGGAGATGTATCTGATGTCTTCCACCTCCTTAAATTTCATATTTACAATCTGACAGTGTTCTAGACTCAGAGACGATGTCAGTTAGCTATTGCCACGGTAATACTGCATAAGAAACCACTCTCAAACTCAGTGTCTTAAAACAAAACAGTTAAACTTTATGTAGCCGTGGAGTCTGAGATCTGTGACTTAGATTGGGGTCATTTGACTTATTCACATGTGAGGGTGAGGAGGGGGATGTTCACTGTTGACTGCTGTCATTGGTCTTGGCTGAAACACATGAGGCTTTGGCCCTGGACTAGCCTTGCAGTGTTTTTCTCACAGCTACAGTCATCAAACACAAGCAAAAACATGCAAGGTCTCAAATCTTAGGCTCAGAATTCACCCGCACTTCCACCTAGTTCTGCTCGTCAAAGCCATGTGGCCAAACCCAGAGTAAAGGGTGGGGCATGTCCCCTCACCCTATTCTTCCACCCCTCCCAATGCCATAATAGGAGAACACTGAAGAGTTATATGAGAAAGGCTATAAGGAAGAATTGGAGCCATTAATGCAATTAATCATGCCATCACAGTGTCTGCATTTCAGTCATGGCCACTCACTAGCTGTGTGTCCATGAGCAAGTGAATTAGCTCCTCTGTGCCTCAGTTTTCTCCTCTTAAAATAGGCTGAATAATAGCCTATCTTTAGGGCATTTGTGGGAATTAAATAAGATAATACATATAAAGTACTGAGTACAGTGCAAGTGCTCAATAAATGTTAATTATTGTTATTACTGCATTATAGAATTATATCAACAATAACAGTGATGATTTGCCAAGTCTCTACTCTGTGCCAGCTTGTCATTATTATTATGTCCACTTTACAGACAGGGAAGCTGAGGATGAGAGAGAAGACAGGACTTAAAAACAGTCGCTCTCCGAAGTGGGATCTCTGAGCTCAGGCGCTGCTGCCTGCCCTAACCTGCCTTTGCCCATCCCCAGGCCTCACCTTCCCCGATGGCACAGGTACCAGGAGAAGTGGACAACATGGAGGGCCTGCTGGCCTCTAACAACAACAACCCTGCAGCCCGCTGGGAGAGCCCGGACCGGGGCTGGGATCGGGAGCAGCCTGCGGCCTCCACTGCTGCGGCCTCACTGTTCGAGTGCTCCCGGATCAAGGCCTTGGCAGGTACCTGGGAGAGGGCTGGGGTGGGAGACAAGACGGAGGGAAAGCGGGCAGCCACCGGGATGTTGTGCCTCGGTGCCCTGTGATGTCCAACATACTAAGCACTAGTGCTTGTGGTTTTGAGCACTTAAAACACGGCCAGTGCAATCTAAGAACTGAATTTGTATTCGTAGTTAGTTTTAATTAAATAGCCACATGTGGCTTGTGGCTGCTGTATGGAGCAGTGCAGCCTTAGAACCTTAAAGATATGTACAGTTCCAGAAACATGCAGTTTTGTAAGTATGCTTCCTTAGAATCCTAAAATGCTGAAATGCCTGATTTTAGGACCTTAGAATGTCAGGCTTGAACCTGAGACCTTTAGAAACAGAGACTCTTGTAAATGGAATTTTATAATCACAGACCTTAGAAGTTTTAATCATTGGCTCCTAGGATCTCAGACCCTTAGAAATCTAAACTCTAATACATATAGATCCTAGGGCCTTATAATCCTAACCCTTTAGAATTTCTTTTTTTTTTTTAAATAAAGATTTTATTTACTTATTTTTAGAGAGAGGGGAAGGGAGGAAGAAAGAGAGGGAAAAACATCAGTCAGCTGCTTCCTGCATGCTCCCTGACCAAGGACCAAACCCAACCCCAGGAATGTGCCGTGACCAGGAATTGAACTGTTGACCTTTCGGTTTGTGGGACAACGCCCAACCAACAAAGTCGCACTGGTCAGGGCCCTTTAGAATTTCTGATTAGAAAGGTGGATCCTGTGATAGAATGACCCAAGCTTCCAGCTTTAGCACTAAAGCCCTCAGGGACAACTAGGATGGTTGGTCACCTACTTTGACGTCTTAGAACAATGTAAGCAAAGACCAGAGAGCTATAGAGTTATAGAACCTTAGACCTTAGGAAATGTAGACCCTTGAACCTTAAGACTGTATATTCATGGGGCTTTAGAATCTTAGAAGAGTTTAATCATTAGCCTAAAAATTTATGAGCAAAGACCCTTCAGAGACATGTAACTTCATAATCAAAAACTTTGAAAATATAAAACCCTTAGCACCTTGACCTGGAAGGCTTTACACATAACATATATGTAGTTTTAATCATAAAATCTTGAAACCATAAAGTCAGAATTAGTTCCCTTACAATCTCAGAATTTTATTAACTTGACATTTAACAATCATGGGATCTTTGATACTAAGATTTTTGGAACTTTATAATTAAAAGACGTCAAGCAGGGTGTTGAATGAACTCAAGGGCCTCTGGAAAAGCAGGTGACGCAAATGAGTGAGTGGACCGGGGCCCGTGGTCAGCTAATGAACAGTGCCCTGGACGCCAGCTCTT